AAATATATCTTTAAGTTAATTTTATAATTCTCGACTAAATCATCATTCTTATTGATAAATGGCAATTCAACATCAGAAGAGGTGATAAATCTCTCCATTGTTGTAATGGGATATTCACGCATGCGATTGGAAGACGGAATTGTTTCGTGATCGTAAAACCAGAACGACCACCGGATAAAAATACACTAAAATCTAACATTTCATACAGATATTTATGATAAAACCAATTGGAAAAAATTACCTTAATGTATCATTAGCTCATGATGCTTAGTATCACCTGAAAGGGAAGCAAAGTCAGACTCAATTAGTTTGACGTTATTTAAGGTTATCCGTAAATTGTCAGTCGCCTAAGGGGCCATCTGATCGGACCTTATTTGCATATTGTTATTGATATGAGCGGTAGGTAATAAGGTCAAGTGTGTAGGCGACAATTTTACATCTAATTGAATACGATAAAAATCAAAATCATGTGGATAATTAATTGTCATTGCCGATTTTAAATACCATATTGGGTAAATTAGCCATTTCTAAACAGTTAAAGTGATATGTGATTTATTGTAAGTGATAAGGAGCTGGCAATTGACAATAACAGATCAATATGTGTAAAATACAGCTTCGCTAATGTTTTGTTTAACTGAGATTTATGGGGGTGCGTTTATCAATGTGTTTCAATCAAAGTTCAAATATCAAATTTTGGCAGAAAATGAGGAATTTTTTTTTCTGCCTTTTCGAAGTATAATGTACTGGATACTAAACAATGAATATTTTCTAATTTTATATTAGAAAGTTTGAATTTCTCAGTGTGTAACATAGCTCGTCGAGAGACAAGTAAAGAACGCAGGTTTTTTTTCTTGACAAGTAGTTTTAATCTTCAGATAGCGAGGTCACATACAGAGTGGACAGGTCGATGGTCAGGAGAGCGGAGCCTGGCGTGCTGCTTGGTCTTAAAAAATCAGACTCTCAGTTTACAATTTGTACCGTGCCTTTTATACACATAGGGCTGTTATCATTATCATCATGCGCGATTGTTAAAATGATCGCAATAACTTATTTTGGAACAAATCTGTCCAACTTTTATAATACTGTAGCCAAAGGTTATCATAATGTACGTGAAACAGTACAATTAATTACTTTCTAATTAGTATTTTGACTACGTACCATTTAACACCTGTTGACATTTAATTAATATTGGACAGTTGTCACTAACTCTGGACACGATAGTTTCAAAGACCTTCAGGCCCACACCTGTGCAACACGACATCTCCGCTGTACCAGTCCACCGACATACATGTATCTATCAAATATTGATCCAAATAGTTTATAAACAGAATTACACATAATTCTCACTTATTACTTATTCCTAGTCATAAATTACCATTGGATAATTATTACGAATAATTACATAATAATTAACCTTCAAATATTGACTGCAATAAGTGTTCCGTACATATTAAACGATTTGCTATGAAGCGCCTATGTTTTACTAACCAGAATGTTTCCAAATTTATTATTTTTCTATATACATATTTTTTGGAGGTGGGAGTAAGGGTGGGAGCACTTTATTGCATTGAAAATGTCACCTTTCATTCGTAATAGATTAATTCATAAATTGTAACATGAAATAAAAAAAATGTATCATTCACAAAATCAAAATAGATAAATACGAAATAGACAAATGAGCATTGCTGACGAGTCATGAAACTTGGAGAAACTAAATTTCTCATATAAATTGTTGTCAAACATAAATCTATAGGAAAATCACTCTTGATTCGTGATAAGTGGCCCGGAAACTTTAGAACAGAAAATTTTACGTCACAATGCAACTCACAATCCACCCATTTTGAGGATAGTTACAACACCGGTATCGAAGAAATATCTTATTGAGATACGAAAGGCAGATGAGAGTCCCTTGTAGATTTAAAAAAAAAAATATTTTCCACATGGCACTAACATGATCTTCAACAATGGGGAAATTTATTGGAAATGTGGAATTTAACTTTGAAGCACCTGGTTTTGTTCTGTTTGTATTATGGCAAAAACGAAACTTGTGAAATATTTCTTTGTGTCTTCTTTGTGTCCGCCTTTTATCGATTACAAATTTGTTAATTTGTCAATGTTCTTTTGTTTTTAAAAAAAGTACCATGTTAAGCTTTGTGGTTCGAATTGGATACGAACAGCAATCCGCTGATAATTCATTCGTTATGTCTGTCAAGTAATGATTAACACGCAGATATCAAACAAATCTTTGTTAAGATTTTAATAAGTACTTTATAGGAACTATAAACATCTACAGCAATTTTCATACTAGAGGCATGCTACAGAAAAAAACAAAGAAATCAGAAAAACGACATGAAGCGCAGAAGTTTTCCTAATCATATGTCTACTAATATTTAATGTTTTAATATCAGTTTTGACTTTGATCAAATCGTGATGATATGCCAGTAAATACAAATCACAGAATTCTGAGATTTAGAATTTCTAGCAAAATTTTCAATTTGCAGTTGTGTTGCAAATATCATGATAATTTCGAAGCGCTGTATAATAACTGCTTTTTCCCTAGCTTATAAAGAATAATTTTGAAATACTTTGTTTCACATCTAAGGTTTTCATATTTAATATTTGTTTGAATAAATAACTTATGATATACATGTTTTCCCCCTGTACTCACTTTTCTCTGATCCGCTTCAATGTCTCCGAGGAATATGCACAGCATATTGCATAAGTGAGTTATGTGTGTACAGTTCTTTATTCATGCCGGTATATACTTATGTTGATTCGATATCTGGAGATAACTAAGTTACATATCGGCTTATCTTGAACAATATGCTAATATGTAATATAAGCGAACGACTTCCATTCAATTATGTTTCCTCTAATCACAGGAAATTTTGTTCTTTCTTCTTTGTTGCTAGAACATACAAAATATCGAAGACATAATTCAGATTTGTGTTTTATATATGTTCATATGACATTGTCTGACAAAAAGACAAATCAATCAATCGATTGATCAACCAATCAATTAGACAACGTGAAATATACGATATTCTTAGGTGTGAGCAGTATTGTGGAGCAGCCCTACTGCCCCGCGGTGTTTGTGTGAAGAGATAAAACCACACCGAGCACCACACCCACGTGACCCCCTCCCTTATCTATTTCCGTTTCTAACCATTCATATTCATGTCTACACTATTAGACATGTAGCCAATATGTCCAAAAGTTCTATTTTCTCAAAATATTTCAATTGATGAATTATTTTCCAGACAAGCGTGTGTATTTCAATAGACATGCATATCCGGTTATAAGCGTATGTATTTGTGAGTTACAACAGTATAACATTTTATGTACTGTACTGCAGCTAAACTTTATGTGTGATAAAAACTTAACGACTAAAATAAAAATTCGCGAATATTTGGTCATTGACTTGAAGTATGTTTTATCAGAAACGAGAAATAGAAGAATATGTCCGTGATTCAAATCACGTGCAAATATAGGACCGGAATATCTTGTTAAGGATTTCATTCAATATTTGAAAGAAGTTTGATTAATGCACAATTACACTTAAAAATTAATGTTAAAATTATATCATTATCAAATAGTCACATTGTATGGTATATAGGACTCACCAAAACATGTGAAATCTTAAACTTCATTATTATCATTTTGATCAATTTATTTCTACATAGAAAAGTTCATCATTTTAAATATCTGTTAAGGAAACTTCACGTTTTCAAACATGTCTATATTCACATGTACAATATTTAAATTAAAACATATTATTTTGATATGTCAAAATATACATATTTTTTCTTCTGTTGTGTGAATGAGTTTTATTAAAAGTGAAATTAAACTTTTATATAGGTAAGAAATTGGTAGTATCAGTGACTTGATCAAAGAAATAAAGATATAAGATGTCACTTCTAGTCAACATTGACAAACTTTTATACCCAAATATCGTTACTCTGATAATTACTTAAAATGTTATATATTCTAGCCCCGGTCATACCTTATTTAACGCTATGCTGATCAAGGTGTCCCTAACAAAAGGAGTTACACATAAACATTCTTTAAACACGCTACATTAAGTTTTGTACACAACTTTTTTCTAAGAAGCAATAGGTAACTACATTTTTAAAATTATATATAGGATTTTAATATCAAAGAGTGTGGTAAATATACATTATATTATATCGTATACAAAACACCGTTTTATCTCTTTAAAATATGTATATTACAAAGTATTATCAATAAAACGCTCTAGTGATTTTGATAAGTTTAAAAGGAAAGTGATAACATATACAGCGAAAAAAATGTATATGAGACAGCCCGCATAACGATACACAAGCTTGTATTATAACCAGAAGGAATAAACTTGAGAAGCCGTGGCAGGGATCGGAGATATCACCAGGACAAATTTTCCCGGGGGTCGTTGCTCGTGGGGATGTGTTGGAAACAAAAGGGGATAAAAGCGTGTTTAGCTCCTCACAGGCCGCTATACGACAGGCGCGTTAAGCGGTGACGGTAGGGCCACGCCCCCTTCTGTTGACGGTCGGACCGGCGCCTCGTGCTCCCAGACCCTGCTCTCTCTTTCTGTGTCTTGACATCGCTGATATATACCTAACAATGAAGTACTGATATTCTATACTGACGGTAATTGATCATTCTTAAATAGGGGCGAAATAACAAGTGTGACTTTTAAATCAGTTGAATTCATCTACCACTAAATAAACAGAAACTGACGACTGGGGTCCAATACTCCTATAGTCAGATAACTCTCATACTCTCAGATTGTCAATGAAACTGACAGGCCTTTTTATCCAGTGCTGTGTGGATTTCACCCGTTCGAGTGTTTCAAATTAGCCCCTGTTTGCTAGTACACCCCATCTTTCCACGCATGGGTGAGTTTTAACCATACACATTGTATGGTGATCATCTAACTTCCATTACACATCAATTTGTAGGCTCACCAATGATGACTTTCTAACTCCGTGACGTCACTTCCGGAAGAGTACATATGGAGCAGCATAACACCCCGGCGTTGTGCTTGACTTGTAGCAGTGTGTATGGAGGACGTTGGATGGTTCACTCGGTTTTTTTATCACTATAGTAACTGAAGTCACCTTTTAACACATTACAAAATATTGTACGGGACTGTGGATGTTTAATTTATCTAGATGGTGTCAGCGGTATACTAAAAACGGATGATTTACAAACTTTGAAAACTTTTTCTTTCGTGAATTTATATTCACTGTAATTCAAATTTTCAAGATGCATCCAACATCATTAACAACAAGTTCTAATTCAGCTTTTAGTAAATTGAACACTAACAGTGAAAAACTAGAAACACCCAGTGGTGACATAACAGATGCTAATAGTGTTTCATCAGAGAAAAATTCTACTTCTTTATTACAATGTTCATCGAAATTATCATCTTCATCATCAACACCAACAGGACAGAAACAAGTGCTAAAATTCAGTGTGGATTCAATCATGTCAGAAAAGACATCTCCAACGAATAATCTTCCGGAGGACAGGGAACAATCTGAATCCCCTCACTCAGTCAGTTCCGATGAAGGAAGCTGTGCGGACTCTCCAAAATTGACCACAGCTCCGATGGGACCTTTCAGTATGGACGGAATATTAAACAAACACCATTCGATTATGAGAAGTTCGGACAATTCAAATGCAAGTTCATCACTAATGTCTCATGTCCCGTCGGACGGGCGCTGGCCAGGATTTTACACCGCGGCCTCATTCCCCTGGCTCCCTGGGGCATCATTGTCACCCCCAAAAGGTAAGTCTCCCATTCCCCGATATTGACAATACAAAACATTTTTATTTTATGAAGTATTTAGCGTATTTGAAATTTGTTTATTCATTCAACATAATATTGAATTATTTATATCATGTTTTCATGTCCTTTTTATGTTATACCCTATTGGTTATTATGGATACAAAACTTAATAACTAAAATGAAACTTAAGAATTAAATTCAACGTTTTAGGAATAAATAATAAGTCCATTTAAATTTCTGTAAATGTTATATACGGTTGATACATGTCTTGTTTAAAAGGACATTTAAATATACATATGGTGATTCAATATATTTTAAAAATACGATAGTAAGACAAAATATGGCATTAGATATATTATTTTGATTTATATTGTAAATGTTTTAGCTTTCACGTTTTAAAATTAAGCAGTGTAGATATAATACAAATGGAATTTAAAAGCGTAACAAATCTGTAGTTAAGAGAGAATATGATTATATATTTGATTAGATCCATCGTATTTTGATATATATCAAATGAAATGTCTTGTCTCCCATTTGTTGAATAAGAAATGCAAATGAAAACACAATTAACACCGTTAACGTTTAAATATTGTAAACTTTTCAATACAGTAACTTAGAAGAAACTCGTGTTGATTTAAAACTCTGAAAATTTGAAACTAAAAGTTGAAATCGCATAATTCATAAATAAAATTTTACCAAGAAAGGCCAAAAACAAATTTATGTGAATAGCATCCTTTTAAAATAGAATCTCAAATATGCAAAGCATATTATATTACTAAGTGAGATACATTCTGCTTTCATATTAATGGAGTGTATTTACTATATAACTCCTTTCTAATATAGCACTTCAAATAAACTGATAAAGTTTATTTTAGAAAATTGAAGTTGAAGTTTCCTGTGATGTTGAAATATTCAAGCTTAGGGATAAATTAAAGATAAAGAATATGAAGTTTCGATGTGGGATCAAAGTTAAAATCATCAATATTTTATATGATATATTAAAACGGTATATATAACATTTAATAGGTTCTGTCAAATTAATTAATATCATAAATAAAATTTTCTTAAGTTATACACTAAACGTGCTTTATTCATCTCGGCACCATGGACATTTATCTTCACAAAGTCTCTATGATTTTGTTATCTCGAAAGTATTTCATTGCATATTTAAATACGTACATGTATAAGTATAATGCTATTGAAGAACTGTTAATTCAAATAATAAAATCAATTTATATCTTAATAAGACAAAGATTCTATCAAAAGTGTTAATTATTTCAAAGAACTATAATATATTTTTGTTACATCAGAATTTAAATTATTATATTTACATATGCTTTAAGTAGTATTTTCTGAAGTTACAGATAACATATTCGTTTAACAATATCTACAGATGTACATTATATATTTCTATTATTCCTAATGACAAGTAGTTAAAACATTAATCACGGTATAAGTATATATCTATGGCATTAGTTTTTATTAACGAGTGTTGAATCATTTCTATACCCCATTAGTAGTTCGTAATCCTTTTTCCTTTCATTCCTGATTAATATACAAATCTGTGATTAATATCGACAGCTAAATGTTACCATACAGCCATAACCTACAGACAGCGGTGTTTGATACAGTGATTTATGTACAGAAATATTCTCTTTGTTTGAATAAATAAAATAGAAATGACCAATAACATTATACCTTTCTTCCCGGGTTTTCCCTTAGGCTTAATTGTTTTCTTTTGAAAAGCGATCATAAATAGCACTAGGCCCAGGCAAGGTGATAAGAGACGAAGATTGTCTCCCCGGAGCGATCATACAGTTACACAAAACACATCTTTATGTCTATTAACGATAAGTCAATTGTGTTTGTTTGGGTTTCTTGTCTATTTTGTTCGTGTGAAAAATGAACATTTGTCACATTAAAAGTTTGATAAAGAAAATAACTATTTATTTGTATTTCTTGCATAAAAAAAGTCCGGGAGCATTAATATATCTACTCCGTATATCTATATCTGAATTACACTAAAAATAGAGAAACAAAATTAAAACTAAATTGAAGACAGAAGAAAACAAAATTAATATCATTAGTAATTTTACAATTCGCAATAATTTATATGTTTATTAAATTCAGTATGCAGTTATGGATGTCGTTAAATCATAAATTCGAGAAAAACAGTACCGGCCGCGTGTGACAGTTGAACTCATAAATACGTGAACTAACGTATTAGCATAGCGTACAAAATGAGAATATTAGTCTTTATGATTTTTTTTTCAGTAAAAGTCCCCTAATTTATATCATAAAAAATGTTTGTCGTGTTTTATTGACAGTGTTGTATTAGATGTCAAAAGCAATACAGATTTTATCCTTCTTTATATTTATTTTGTGGCCCAAACGTGTGTCTATTCCCATCAAACGTTCTAAATATTTAGTTTGACACATAATTAATAAATCAATATTAGTCAAAACCGATATAAATCATAATTTTTTAATTAATTCCGAAGACAGGAAATTAAATATTGGAACTATATTATTATTTCGAAAAAAAAACGCACATCAAAAGTTATTATTCATACTGTGTTGTTATCTTTCTATTAAAAGGATTAGGTAACGTATTCAATTCATCAGTAACTTGGGCACATTGTTAAAGAAAATACATTATGTTGCCGTATTAAAAGTGACACTGAACGCCAACGATGTCAAATCGTTACGGAAGCCGTTAAATAATAATTTTAATTACCTTTGATTTCGTTCAATTAGGGCGCTATCACTATTCGTTTAGCATAATTAGGGTTATTGCTGAACACACGTAGCATATGAACTGTCACCTCAGTAATGCACCTAATCTTTGACCATCTTGTGTCACAATATTCCACTGGTCGTCTGAAAGATAAATTAACTGTTATCAAGACAGCCTTTCAAGCTCGGTACTTAATTAAAGGCGTCAATAATTAATTTCAATAAAACGGTTAGAGCTTAGCACTGCATTTTTTGATAACGTCTACCCAATTAGCAGGATATTATGTCCGTTTCAATCACGTTATCGTCTCATCACTTAGAATACTGGTGGTCAGTCTCTCATTGACAGATGACCCACAGGCAAACTTGACCATGGTGATGAGTCTTTGTTTGTACTAAAGCCAGATGACCACGCGCGCGAGGTATATCAGTAACTGTATCGGACCCGATCAACATACTGAATAGTTTTACTCATAAGTATATCAGTTTCCCTATCGCCGTTGATTAACAGGCAAAGTAGGTAATAGGGTATTACGTCATCATTTACAGATGAATATCCAGTATATGTACAAACTCTGAAGGCTTAATCGAGATCCTGTAATTGGAAATTCATTATTCATTCTCACTTGTGGATCCCATGGGTTTTGATATGAGTTTTTTTTATTTGATTAGAACATTCATTCTTTATTCTTATTTTATTCATTTTTCATTTCCTCGTATGGTTGCGACAGTGTGTTTAACATTTTTTTCCCGTCGTTCCATCCGCTTTTTATTTATTGTAAGATGTTCTTAGACTATCCCTTTGTGTCATATTGATATTTAATGGTTGATTTTATTTTTTGTAATTCTCTAGGTCCAAGTAGTCCGGCAAGGATAAACCCACAGAAATGCACGCTAAGGAAACATAAAACCAACCGAAAGCCACGAACACCATTTACTACGTCACAACTTTTAGCATTGGAAAGAAAATTCAGACAAAAACAGTACTTATCCATAGCGGAAAGAGCAGAATTTTCCGCGTCGTTAAATCTTACAGAGACACAAGTGAAAATATGGTTTCAAAACCGTCGAGCAAAGGCAAAACGTTTGCATGAAGCGGAATTAGAGAAACTGAAGATGGCATCAAAACCGATGTTACCTCCACACATAGGAGTCACGTTTCCCGCCGCCGCAGCATTGTATAATGGACATTTCGGAAGACCTCAGGGTTTTCCTCAATCCCTTATGTCTCCATTTAGTTACTCTCTACCTGCAGGCGGTAACATAGGTATGGTGTACCACCATTAACATTTGACAATTTCTGAAGAAAGAGTAGTTGTTGAAAGCCATGGCCCAGATATGATGGACCAACGATGACCTCCAGCTCCCAATTGGTCAGAGTTATTGACCAGTGTTGTGTTGAAAGTCGGACAGGCATGAAATTCCTTAGTAAAGACTTTCATCACGGATGTACCTACTGTGTACGTGAGCGGAGATTACATACCCAGATAACGGGCGATTTGATGGAACAGAATACTATCCGATCTGAAGACAGAATTCCTAGATAGGTGTGTCGAATCGGTGTAGGGCGGGACGCGAGACAGACTGCCATAGTCTTTGTATCATCACACCACGAATGTGTTCAGCTGTGCAAGGTCATATGACAAATACACCCGTTTTCAAAAGTCAAGGGCATGTTTAAAAACAATTGTCAAAATAAAAAAAAAATATCAAACATTTGTATGAATAACTCAGGGTAGAATGTTTGCCAAAATATTGTACTTGGACTTACACGTGAAAGTGCTGCTTTGAATATTGAACTGTTTCAGCATTATACTTTAAGACATTTAATTCTAGACAAGATTATGCCATTGATTTGTAAACAGACATTTTTCCACCAAGAAAACTAGCGTTTTCATAGCATTTTGGGAATCAACCACCAGTAAGAAATGAACTATTCCAGGAAATGTTTTTACCAATTGACATTATGTTAATTGCGATAAACATTACGAATTTCCTCTAAATTAGGCAAACGAAATGACAATACAGGTATGCAGATGCTAACTTCCGGTTGCCTGTTTGATCTAAATGTATAAACTGGTCTACGGTTTCCGGATTTCGTAAGGGGAAGTGAAACAAGTTTTAAAATCGAGGCCGTTCGAATGTCTACATTCACACCAAGGTATGCCAGCATGCCAATAGGTGAGCGAGACATTTATGTATGATTATTTATGTATAAAAATGATTATTTATAGAATTTTCTATTCTAAATTCTATTCTCAAAAATCAAAAACATTTGTTGTGCACTATTTGAATGATATCTCTATATATTATATTAAATATGTCAAATTGAAAACAAATTCTCAGCGTTGTTTTTTATCATTATGTTAAATTTATTCACCAGAAAAGATACCATGAAACTATAACAATGGTGTTCTTTCACTAATGGTTTGATGATGTCTGTTTCACCTTATAGACTACATTTGAACGCTCAAGGAAACTTTGATAATAAGAAATGGAGGAAAACTAACGTTTTTGGTTTTTGTTGTTGAAATAAAATATCTTTAACGTGTAGGTAAATTTACTACAATATAGGACATAGTATTTCTTCTTGTTCTTTAATTCAAATTATCAGAATTTTGGAGAGAAAGATAATTTGGACAGTATCTGATAAAACCACTAAGTCAACCATATGTGAAACCCTTTTATCAAAAACTGTTGTAGATGACTAAGCATTGTCTGAATTGATAAATTATAAATTATGTATTCAAAATTATAACAAATAAGTTAAAGTTAAACGTTTGGAAAAGAAAACTGATTAAGCACAGTGATGAAGAACAGTCCAAATACCATTTGGAAGTGTAAATTTGTTTAAAACTGATATAAACAGCATCGTTTCCAACCTTAATAGTAATATATTTATTTTGAATAACCTTTAGATAACACAATATAAAAGTATTATACCTTTATTTGATGTTTTACTAAAAAAAAAACATGTCAATATTGTTTTCAAATTCACAAGAAATTAACAAGCTTGTAAATTCATAAATTTCATTTTCGATGCTAATTTCTCAAAATTAAACAATTTTACAGTGAAGAATATTATGTATACCTTAGAGTATGATCACTATAGTTTTGAATAGTTTTGTAACTAATATATTTCAATATCATATATCTATATGCAAGGACAATATATTATCATCTTTATGCACTTTAGCATATGAAACCATGTAAATTGCTTTTGTTTATATATAAAAAGTAAATATATAAAGGTAGGATTTTGGTTGAAATTAACAAATTAAAAATAACGTAATTCATACTTTAGATGATGATTTTTGTATGATTGCTGGTTCAATGTAAAATTATATGAAGCCTAATTATGGCATAATCTTAAATGGAATTGTCCGAAAATTTGAAAATATTTACATTTGTGTAAAGATAAAAGAAATTACAGGTTAATTTTGTTAAGTTCTGTTAATAATGTATAAAACTTGATATATAGATATATCTCACATGATTATCAACTTATATTTCATCATCTCATGACAAAATTTCTCTCATTAAAATAGGATTTAACATTTATATGACTTAATGACAAAAGAACATATGACATGGAAACTACACAACGTCAGAAATTAATATATGACATTTACATAATTACATGACATTCATATGTGATGTAAAAATATTCAAAAAGATATAGAAACATACATTTTCAGTGAGGAATTAAGTACAACACTTAAACGAATTATTTGAATTCGCGTTAATAGGAGCTATAATGAAGTATGATAAAATATCATCTGCGTCAGTTAAATCTATTTAATCGGATTCATTAAGATTTACTTTCACATCAATATTTTCAATTATCAAATTTCCATGCATACAATTTCCTTATATTCCTTTTAAAGGTAAGCATGCATATTTGGTATGGCTTGTTACATCAGTGAATGAAGATTGATGTGTTAAAGTGCTATATTCAGTCCTTATTGTATGATCTGTAAGAAATGTGAAAAAAATACAAATTAAGAGTTTTCAGATTTCTTCAACAACTACGACGTTTGTGAAAACTGATATATACATTTAGATTTCAGAAGTTTTTCTCTGCAAATCAACATTTACATGTCAAATAATGAGATGCATAATTTTGTGTCTGTATTTAGAATTTCAATCATTACTTATGGCCACAGGTTGACGTTTTATCATTCTATCTTTTCGTGTGTTAATATGCAGCAACAAAAAGCCAACACATTTACTGTGCATTTAACATTACCGGAGAACATTCGTGATAGGAAGTGATTCTCCTCACCTAATTGCACAACTAAAGCACGCTTATAGCCTGAAAAGATAACAGTCCACCTGACGATTTGTCGGTTCACAAATCAATTAGGAAAACATATTTTAAACTCCTGTCAATTATACATTTCTCTGTGACTTGTGCTAAAGACTACATTTGACACAAAACATAACCAAATTGACAATTTTCATAATCGCAAAACCAAGAACTTTTACAATGTGGTGTATATAGACGACGCTTAGGTTTTGTTAAATCTTTCTGGTTAATTTCTACGCACACACAAACAAAAAAGACAATTTGTTAATTAGAAAAGCAATTTAACTAATGACTTCACGGATACATTACGTGCAGAACATCGCGAGTGTTTAGTTTGAGAATCTATTAATATAATTTCCCCACAAATAGGAAGATAGAAAATTGCTTGCTAATGCAAACAAACCTATGCTGTTAGCGGTATATCAGCTGGGTGGTCTACTCTAGGCAGGCTCCCTGGTTTGATTGGACCTAAGTGTGATGTCTGACTTTATGCCTCTGTTATGAGCGTGCCCTGTGTGGACAGGGAGATACTGAGGGGGGATTCAAGGTTAAGGTCTTGGGCGTAAGTTTGCAAGATAAACAGAAAATTTATCGTATTTACATCAAACACCAATTTGAGTGAAATATCAGTTGTTTTTATATTCTGTTTCAAGTCTAATGGATTCTACGCGTATAAAGGATTATTATTCATTATAGTCAAGCTGTGGATTTCAATAAGTTTACTGGTACAAAGAAATAGTGCATAAATTATGCATAACTAATCTCATACAATCGCATACAAAACTTTATATTTCACGTATAGTAATTTACTGACGAGCGTTAACATGGATAGAGTTGTAGTTTTATGTGAAAAATAAAGTTTATTTACAGACTACTGGTTAATACACAATGGAAATGATATGTGTAAAAATTGCAAAAAAAAAACTCTTTTCTCATGCTGATAAAATAACTTGATTTGAACTCTAATTAGATGTAGTCGCGTAACTAGAAGCTTGTGACGTCATTAGGGTTTCAATGTGGTGACGTCACATTTGAAATCATTAGACTTTCTAGTCAATCTTATATACACGACAAAACTTATTTAGTAGGCAATGATAGTTATGAAACAGATTAACGGAGATTTATGTGATAAACAGATAGTACACTGGTGTGTCATATGTGCATCACTTTATCCAACGAAAATAACTCAGGAGAGAACGAGTTAGGTGCTTTCATGGCTCATTTATGGCCTCAAAAATGAAAACTATTGGATATTGAATCACTTTAATAATATACACATATAATATTCAACAGATGACATCAAAAATTATAACAGAGATTAATAAAACTTAAAAGTTAAAAACAAAACAAAATAAATAGATAAACTCAGAGCACATAAATTTAATGATTTAAAGAATACTGTACAAAAGGGGACACATCATGTAAATAACACCTTACCATACAATTTAGACTTAGAAAACAGTCAAGTAAGATAATGAAGGAAACTGCGTCATAAAGCAGTTGTTTCCTGATGCTAAGGGCCTTAATCGCTGAAACATCGGAGAAAGATTCAATTTGGTCGAAACAATTATAAAAAAAATAGTAAAAGTAAAACGTAAGCCACTATTCTAATGAATAAAAGCATGACATAAAAACCTCGCGAAGTTATAGTCATATAATGAAAGATGATAGAAAAGTTGTTTTCGTCCAACATACCACTTCTGTATTCCACTCATTCTATAGTATTTACATGTGTATTATCTGAATTCTTTTCTGTATAATAACTACAGGTCTCTTGAGGCTGTCATCAAGGTTGGTTACACCTTCCCTCTACATTAGGGCTACGTGTCTTTGTTATTGACTGTATCACACAGATCTTATATGTATGTTTGTCAACCTGCATTCAGTAAAATATGAATGAGTGACGAAATTAAATTACTGATATTTTATAAGACGGAAGTGACTCCATTCAGTTTTCCCATCTAAGATATGCCCTATACCACATGGATGTCCAGAGGTTTACTGCACTAAACAGCAAAAGCATTTACGAACAGCGAATCCTGTTTTTATACGCAAGACTCAGCAAGTGAAAATAAACAGCATGATTATGAAAAAGACTTAATTCAATCTGACAATCCATGCATCTTTTTTCTTCTTACGTATTCCTTCACATAGCTGGAAATAGATCAAGATTCTGTGTCTAAGAACTAAACAACAATTGTATACAAATTACCAGGGACTTATAAATACGAAATCATTGCGCTGATATCACACGATGTAATATTCTGTCGAGATTATTATTAGATAAAGTCCATAATCTCTTTAACTTCAATACCAAAATCTTTTATGATGAAAGAACTGTATGCAATATTGTTATCAAAGCAACACACAATTCATTATCCTAACATCCTAACAAGAAACCTTAACCATGTTGTTTTATATTAAAACTGAAACCAAACGGTATTCGTAAGAAGGCGTATATAATTGAACCGATAATGGAACCATTTTATCATCAATTGGCCCCCTTATAAAAGTTTGGTGAACATAAAGCTAGTTATGTATTATTCTACAGGGTTTTTTTTTCTGCCACTTTTCATTGTAACTTTTGACTTCAGACAAGCCTGGCACTGAAGAGTAGTTTGGGAATGAAAGCGATTACATTCAAAGATAAACAAAGTGTATACACAAAATAAACATTAAAAAGAAATAAAACCCGCAGAGGAGACAAATATCTTCATTGGAGCCGATTACCTGAAGATGCACATTATCATGACCGTGATATCCTGTATAGTTCTAGAGGTCATTCCCGTTTAGTGGTGTAATGTGGTCAACAGGAGGTATGGAAGAAATGAAAGAGATAGTTTGTTCTGATAAGTGATTGTTAGACCATAGCCATTCATAGCTTCATGAATTCCATTTTGTTTTCTTTAAATTGCGTGGCCAGTCACATTTGCAGTAGAAAAGTAAGAAATGATAATATGTTTTTAAACATTGACCATATCTGATATTCGAATTGCAGAGAACTACAATATACTCTTTGATTTT